CCATTAGCCAATAGATGTCCCACTTGTTTTGAAGGCTTTGAAGTATAAATAGTATTTCTAAAAATGCATCACCAGTACACATGCCAGGTTTTGCTAACACATAAGTTTGAGTGTCAAATCACTGCTCTGAAGTTTGAACACAGTAATGTGCAGTTTCTGTGGCCTTTTGCTTTTGTTTTTGGTTACGAACACCTATTTAGAGGCGGGTTTATGGGATTACTGCCCATTGCGCTCCATTACAATTACTCAGCAGGCATGCATCCCGTCCCCGTAATGAAGTGGGTGTTGCAGTGGGTGGATTTGAAACTGAGCGGCCACTATTCTGTATTCTAGCTACTGGGTACACGGGCTGAGTGGCAGAGAATAGCAGCAGCGATGGCAAGCGTGGCACGGGACAGAAAGCGTGGTGGACCAGAAGACCAACCGCAGAACCAGAGGCAACAATCTGATCCTTCAAACGGCGCACGCTTATATAAGTGTCAGGAGAAATGGAGAATTACATTTCAAAGCCCAGTAAATAAAGTTGTATTGATTTAATCCAAACATGTAATCTGTTTTGCTGTCTGACACTGATGCTGGCAATAAAAGAGAATCATGTAAGACAGCATTATAGATAATACGACCATAGATCAAATGGAGTTTGGGCAACAGAAGGGCAATAGATCATGTTCAAGCTAGAGTGCTTAGCTGTGGAATTCATAAACTACCTCCTAAATCGAGGTGGCTTTCAATTTAAGTTTTCAATTTACAGAGAGAGGATATAGTGTGCGCTTGATGCAATTTTATCGTCAACTTCAGCAGGGGGTCTGCAGATTGGGAACTGTGTCTCTCTCAATTTGTCCCTCAACCGTAAAAGAACATGATGCACTAAAAAAAATGCACGTATGAAAAACTATACATGCGAGTAAATCTCGGTGAAAATGTGATATGTGGCATAAAAAGACTTAGTACTTTTAGAAGAGAATACTACATGTTATTAAAGCCTGACTACATGTACTGTAAACCCATTTTCCACACGGTTTTTTTTCTCTGTTGACATGGTATACAAGTTTTCGTAATGTAAATGCCATTCTGTTCTCGAAAAAAAAAATACGTTTGTCCTCATCATCAGCAAATATCATTCTGACATTGCAATGTATTTCTTTTAAATCATATTTTTGCACTCTGAGCGTCTAATCTAAATCTAATATTGTAACGCAGAATGTAAACCTCAAACTGTAGTTTCACTGTATTGCTTTCAGTTAAACCAAACCTTTACAAATAAAAAGGTATGGTTTAATAATTATGATTAGTAGTGTATTTTTGTTTAAGGGTCATTGTTTGAGTTTCTACATAAATAAGAAATAATTCATTAAACGTGAGTAAGCACTAAGAAATACTAATTCACACACTGGTTTATTAAAGCACACACACCTTATTGCGCTTCCTGATGAAATTAATAACAGTTTTGACTCCTAAGGATGCAGATGGTTTGCCTGTAGCTTTACTTGTTTGAAAGAGTCATTACTGTGGAGGAAACTTCTGTGTAGCAATGCAGTGGGAGTCACCGACTCATGAAGGAGACACGGGATGAGCAGGAGCTTTGATGTCAAACACTGATGGTTTATTTGGAGTTTCGGCCGGAGAGTTGACAAGACATGTGTTGTGTCACGAGTTGACACAGCGGTTGCCAAACCAATTCTGAAGAACTATTCTGCAGCTCGAGGTTTTAACTAGTTTGGAGTGTAATAATCAACATTCTTCATCAGTGAGACTAAACAAAATATGGACCCTGAATCTAACTAGAGCCCTCGTCCATAGAAAAGAATGTGTGCCAGGGAACCTTCGTCCCTGAACAGTAAACTACCTCATAGCGGCTTGTGCTCTGTCATAGACTGGCAACAACAATGTGCCCAAGCTGCTCCTCCTTAAGAGAGATAGCAGCAATACCCAAGGCCGTAGACCTATGCCATGGGAAAGGAGACAGTGAGAGGAGAAAATGATGAACTGTGTCGAAGGTTGAATACCTAAGCAAATTATTTCCCTAACAATTACAATAGTTATAATTCAAAATCAGTAAGTAAATAAAAAACTTAGCTGAAATCGTTTTTTTACTTTATAATTGATGTTATCTGATTTTCTGAATTGTATAAACTGTAGCTTCGTTTATCAGTTGCTTCTTAAAGGGCTGCAAGTATGATGTGCTAGCACCCCCCTGTGGTGGAAACGTTCACATGTGTGTCAGTAATAGAGCTACATAAGATAATGCAGGGGTGTCAAACTCAAATACACAGTGGGCCAAAATTAAAAGATGGGTACTAGTCGAGGGCCGGACTGGTTCAATGTTCAGTGCAGAACGTATTGAGATGAACTCATTGCACATATTAAACCTGGAACTAACAAAGCTTAAATTATTGCCTATAAAAACAACATTAAACATTAAATAATCAGTTGCATTCATTTCTTATGGCTCTATCTGCAGAGTCATTTCTTATGATTAAATTTCTCCACAGGCCAACAACAGCTTCAACAAAACTATTTCCCTCAAAGAACAAAACAAACACTCCCTGTTGTCTCAAGAAACAAAGTGCAGAAGGAAACATCCATTAAACTCAGTTTGCTCTGTGATGCTAGTTCAAGCAGATACTTGGCATCTCATCTTGGGTGCAAGGTCATCAATGTTTGGGCTCAGGCTCTGAGCTGAGGAAACCCTCAGGGTTGAGTGAAGGTGTGCGTGCAATATACCGGCGGACCAGATCTAATAGTATTTAGAAATTATCCTGCGGGCCGAAATTAAATCCACCAAGGGCCTGATTTGGCTCCCGGGCCTTGAGTTTGACACATGTAAGGTATAGAATATAGAAGCATAGACTCAAAACTTAAGCTGATATTTAAAATATTGCTGAAAATATATTTAATGTTTATACGTTTTCTAAATGCTCTGAACCTTTTGTTCCTTGTGCCAATAAGTTATGATCTGTTGAGGTTTAGATGCAGCTTGTTTTATGTATTACTGCACTCTAGTGTTAAAAATAAGCACATGCACTACACAACGGAAAAAAATTACACTGAAAATCCAACACAAAATGGAATACAAACTCTTGTCTGAGGTTTGAGGAGTATGTTTTTGTTTAAAAAGAGACAAGGGGATGATAATCAGAAACATAAAGACGAGGATTTATTATAAAAACTGACTAAAATCTGCTGTGCAGGGCTACAGTATCAAAGACGTCCGGATCACTTTGGAATTTGTATAATTTGTTGGTTCTGGTTCAGTTCGGTCTACTATTTAATAACAAAAAGGTGGGAAATCTTATATTTTTAAACACACATCCATCTCTTACCTCCAGGGAAGTAAATCATGGCGCTTTCCAAACTGTGCTAACTTTTTCTCTCAGGTCCTTTGGAATTACCAGGCAATTGTCAATCTGCAGTGGTGGACAGATGACCTCTAATCTACCACTTTATTGAAAAGAGATACAAAGTTAAATGTAGTCTACATAGTTTTGGATTACATTCTGTATTGAGGGCTAAGTGGACTAACATCCTGAAAGGTACAGATGCTGCCATTAGAAATAAAGGTGGTTATAGGTTGGAGTCTGCAGAGTGAGGAAATGTCAAAACAAACAAGAAACTGTATTGGCTTAATCGCAGACTCCACCTATACGTGGACTGTAAAATATAATCTGACTGTAACAAAGCCAGCTGTCACTCAAGGTTAAAGGAGGCTTGTCCACACTGACAGCTTGTGAAGAATGTATTACAAATTGTCCTTTATATTGAATGAGTAACATGTCATGCATCTTTCAAACAGTACAGTTCTTGAACATTAGGCTAAATAAAAAACATGTTCAATGGAGGATAATAACTTTGACTGAAATGCTTCTTACGTACAGCTTTTATTAAGCATCTGTTGAGTCTATGTGTCTAAATAGTCAAACAAAATTCCCTAAAAAATGTCCCTCGGAAAAATATGTGTTCTTTAAATGTGGTATGTATTTCTATCCGACAACAAAATGATTTTAATATAATATCATATATGTAAAACAAAAGCAAGGACACTTACTGTTTAAGAACTGGACTTACTAGGACATAGTACACATTCCTGTCTTAAAGGTCCCATGTCATGGCCATTTCTACTGATTATAATTCCATTGTTGAGGTCTACTAGAATAGATTTACATTGTTCAATGTTCCACAAATGACATTGGTTTCTCATACAGCATCTCTGTATAGTATATGTATTCACTCTCTGTCCTACAAGGCTTGTTGGAGCTCCTGCCCCAAAATGTGTTGATGTTGATTAGTCTGTTCAATCTAATAAATAATGTGTGCACTTGAGTATAATATCATATACAGTATGTCAAAGAGACATTAGAGAAGCTATATCTTTTGTAGAACAATATACAGCTTAAATAAAAATGATATACTGTATTACACCTAGTGTGCAGTGTCTTATTTACACACCTGTCCCTGCCTAAACCTGACTGACTGGAGTCTGAACCACAGACAAATTAAGTCTAGACGACAGCTGCAGCAAACGTGATGAGAGGAATCCTGGTTTACTTAACAGAAATAGAGCTAATTAAACAATGTCCCTACTAAATTACCATATGTAAATGTGTGTCACGAGTTCCTATTTTACTTTAAATTAAGGAGAAACGCAGCAAAAATAATGTATTGTGCTGCTAATGCGTTACTATATTTAACAACATTCGGTTTATGGCAACGCTTGACTACATTGTTTATTTTTAACTGACTTATCTATGGTTGCACAGACAAGACACAACGCTCTCATTTAACTTGGGAAGACATTTTTAGAAGTAGCACATTAGCTTAAAGTTAGCCTGCACTTGTTTTAGCTTGTTTATATGTAGGCCTATGCACTGTCACGCGCTTTACACGTCGACACACAGATGGTGCAATTTAGGAAGTGTACGTTAAGATAGCGAGCAGACATTAAATATATTCAGTCTTGCAGTTTTCATAGTTCAGCTACATGAATATGTTGTGAACATTACCATTTCTCAGGAGTTTTCCACTTGTGTTTTCTGCAGGTGTCTTCCTCTGGTTCATGCGCAGTTGCGTCTGTGAGGCTGCACAAGTTTCATACAGCTAAAAGAGGTGAAGTACCAGAGTGTAGGAATACTATGTCAGAAGTAAAAGTCCTGCAATCATAGTTACTCAAATAAAAGTACAAAAGTATCATAATACACTTAAAGTACCAAAAGTACAAGTACTCATTATGCAGATTAGTCCATTTTAGAAAAGTATATTACATGTTTTGATTAGAATTATTGATGCATTAAAGTGTTATCGAACTGGTAAAGGTGCAGGGTAGCTTGTGAATTTACTCCAGGTGTAACTAAAGTGTTATTTAAGTGTTAATTATGGCCCACATTATTTATCCAAATATGTGAAATAACTAAAAGGTATTTATAAATGTAGTGGAGTAAAAGTACACTATTTATCTCTGAATTGTAGTAGACTAGAAGTACAAACTAGCAAACATTTAAATACTTAAAGTACAAGTAGGCTACTCAAAATGTACTTAAGTACAGTAGGCTACTTGAGTAAATCTCCTTTGTTTTTTACACCACTGCTGAAAGGGCTTTTAAAAAGACTGACGCAAATGCACACGTTGCTTCTTTTTATTTAGTAAATATTATTTACACATTTTCAAGAACACATGCTACAGAATCTCAGATTTACAGCTTCTAAACAATAAAAACAGCTCTTGAGAACAAAGATACCTGACGACTAAGGAAAACGTCATCCAGGCTTTGAACACTGAGAAAACATTCAAGTTTTTTTCTTTTGATTTATCGTATGTTTTTTAATTTAATTTTCAACCATTTCTGAACAAGGCCTCTTAAACTATGCAGTAGTGATTGTGCAGCATATTTAATATATTCCTGGTGCTGCTAAAGCTCCCTTTGGTTTGTGCTTCTTTGCAGCGGTGAAATTAGCACCCAAACATGGAAAAGGACCCCAGTGACAACTTCTTTGTAATTTACGATCTAATTTTTTTTACCTGATGTTGTCTACATATCTAATAATGATGTTGCTATACCATCTAATGCAATTTGAGTAGAACCTGGTGCTACAAAGCAGTGCAAGTTTGTAATTTCAAAGTCATTTCAGTATGCATAGTACAAAAAACATTATATGTTAAACTATGCAATAGCTTATATCAATTGCTAGGCCAAAGTTGAATTGCAAGTCATCACACATTTGCTATTTACATGTTTGAGTGACAATCTAATTTCCAATGACCACCCTGTCCAAGCAGTTTGTAATTATGCAGACCCCAAAGTTGGAGATCATTAGCATAAAGCAAAGTTAAAATAATGTAACAGATTGGAAATCCCTGCAAACATTTCGTGGGTAATGTCACACATTAATGGTTTGTCATTATGTCAGTCTAGTGTTGCCTTCATGGTCAGAGTGTTACATTAGTTTGGTGTTTAAAAAAGGACATAAACCCTCCGCAGTGTTCAAAGTAAAGCACACTCATCGAATTGATCGTACATCGATTCCTTTTACATCCAAATGATGGATTATGTACATTTACAGGTACACACATACAACCTAGAGAGCACCCTGGTAACTGAACACAGAGGACAAAGTAACACTCTCAAAGTAACACTACTTTACATTCAATACCATACACTACACTGTACATTAAGGCATGAGGTGTCGTTGATGCTAAACATCAGCAGAAGACTCATTAAGAAATGCAATGCACTGAGGAATGAAATGCATGTTTATGAAATGTATCACTTACAGCAGCAAATTATAACAATATATAGACCCTCCTGCTGTTAAACATAGACAAATAAAGTGTATTTTGTGTGACATTTTTATCATAAGACAATTAAAACATTCTTAATTAGAAAGCTGGCTCTAAATTAAGTTCACCCTTCACTCTAATGTCTGACCATGTGTGCCAAAAATATTTAATCAATCCAGATGTTTAAAATGACAGCTCTTATATTTAATTAGCTAGACAACAGTAAATGTAATTGAGAACAATTTAAAGCTACTGCTTAGAGCACTAACACCACTACTCTATATCTTACTCTTTAAATGACAAGGAATACACTTCATCTATTTTGGCGAGCCTTGTTCATGCAGTGTAGTTATTAGGGAATAAATATATTTTATGAATTGATTCTTAACACTGAATCATTTTAAACTCTTTGTTGGGCTCTACATTTTGGTATAGTCAAAAACTGTATGGAGAAGTCTAACCAATCATATGCAGGATTAAAGCTAACCTTTCTTTAATATATGCTGCCATCAGAATATACTCTTTTGCTTTTAATAACAATGGCATGTTTTATGGATGTGCCGTAAGTCTTTATATCATACATTTGTTCTACTTTTTTTCAATTTTTCACTGTAATCCTAGTTTACTTTATATAACAGATGTATCAGGAAGTCAGCACAATGGGAATCCACTTATTTTCAGCAACCGTTTGTAGCTGCACAGTAACTGAATGCAAGTCAAGTCTATATTTAGTATATGTATAACTCAGTAATACTGTACAATTTTGCTCACTGCCTGCAGTGCACAATATTAAATAACAGCACATTTGAGTTATGCAAGTTACTTGCAGTTGGTCTAATATGTTGTACAATTTACAATACTACTCATCACTGAGCACTATGCTTAACACTGCAGACCATCCTCCAATCAGGTATAATCAACAGTAGATGACAATCTTGAACACGCACTGTGAGGTGTGCCAAGCAGGTCAAGAAACATGATTTGTTTTCAAACTCTTCACAACCTCTTTTTTTAAACATTTTAAATATCATGTTTTGGTATCCTCCCAAGTTCCCTTTTTTAAATTTGCAGCAGTGTGTCATGTCACCATACTGTCTTTAGGTGCCGTTCACCAGGATGCTGCCACTGGAGGTTCTTGTGTGTGTCTCTGTGGAGAAGAGTCGGACAAAGTGCTTGGGGTGTGGATTACTGCACCATGCCATGAGGAAGCCTCCTGCATGCACAAGTCTGACACAGCCAACTGCAGGCATTCAGCGGGCATCCTCTGATCCACTAAGAAAGGAAATCTCCAAAAGCCAAATCACCAGCAGTGACATGTCATACACACCATCACAGAGGGATGATGTACACGATGAACATGTGGTGTTTTCAGCTCCGGAAATGCTGCCATTAGCCCAGAAATGCATTATGTGTTGCTTTCCAGTATGACAGTGATCAAGCTGATGGAATCATTCAATGTGAAACCGAGGAAATGTGTGCTAGAAAGCAGCAGCAAGCATAGGAAATAATAGCGACCTGGTCTGTAATTGCTGGCATTTTACAGAAATGACCTATGCTTGCTTGATTCGGGATCTCTTGTGTCTCAGGACACTGAATCTTTCATGTAAACTAAAGCCTCTTTGTTTGACAAGAAGCCACAAATCCCAAGATCACAATACGTGAATGCTGATCTATATTCACCGCATTTTAAGCTGTGCAAGCCGTGCACAAAAATCAAATACAATGACTGTACACAAATGAACAGGAGCAGCTTGCCAGTATTTTTCCTTTATGCTTACACGGTCATAATCAGCATGGTTAGAGTGAATGACTTCAATAATTCATTCCTGTCAGACCATACTATCCTTACATCCTGTTGGTAAGATCATACTATACACATAGTTTGGTAGATTGTACAAACACTTAAGGGCAAAGTCTTATATCTCTGAGACGGAGGAGTTCTGTGTTGGTTTGCTGGTTGTTGCAGCTGATAGGCAGCACTTAGTTATCAGTTCAGGTTGGTTGAACATGGTTATGAACATCTGTGGAAAGTTCTGTGCCACCAGAGTCCTGTTTTCAAACGTAAATCTCAGGTGGTGGAACAGTCAGTATGAGTTAGTATTTACGCCAGTTACACTGTGCCATTTGTCAACAAGATTCATATCACCGAGTCTAAAAATCTAAAGGAACAAAACTCTTACTTTCACCACTAGATTGGGCTGACCTTGCAGATCGGGAGGAGTGCTGTTTGACTGCAGCGGCAAACAAACGGGAGGAGAGCCTGAGTGCCTGAATAATTGGGGCGTAGCTAGCCAGCAGTGCTTATCTTCTATTAATACTTTTACAACCCGCATCCACACTGATGTACTTCAGAGTGGACCTGGCCTTACCCACGTGGTCAGATGACAGCGGAGGAGCCAGAAGAAGGAGAGTGTGAGTTAGGAGAGGAAGGAACGTTCCAGAAGAGCCACTTGCGTTTACACTGCCGTCTCTGGTACAGGTAGTCCTCCTTGTCGCGCTCTTTGCGGGCTCTTTGGTAGTGGTCGTCCTCTTTCAGGAACCACACTGGTGGCCAGCGATGTTTCTCAAAATACTCTTGGTTGTCTGCATCAGAATACACTGTCTTAGGAATCTCAAAAAGATATCTAGGCATTTCAATTGCCCATTTTCAATATCGCATTTACCACAATGGTTAGTCCAACATTGTCAAGAAAACTAATTGCAGCACATATAGCATAGATCTTATTGATATTTGCATACATCTTACAACAACAATTTTGCTAGAAAGGCATTACAGAGGATACATTTATACAGTGTATACATTTATACAAATATTTTTTAACCTAAAAACTCATATACTATAAGTAGACCTGAGGGTCAAAATGTAATCTAAATGTGTGTTGCCAGATTACATGCATGTTACCTGTAGACTTGGACTTCATCTCTCGGGGAAACTTGCGACAGACACTGTTGTAGTTGGTGCAGATGTGGTGAAGACACCAGCCAGTGAGCTGTTGGGCGCCGTGGAACTGTCAACATACCAATTATTATTATTCATTTATGTATCTGTACATTTAAGATGGTCTTTGTTAGCTGTATTTAATACATTTCAGGTATTGCTGCACTGGAGTTTCACCTATACTTTAACAGGGTTGCCAACTTTGGGTACCTGGCTGGAGTGAGATTTTGATATCATGGGTTTAATTACATATGCGCACGAAATGACTGCTATCGTGTCAGCAGCAGGACCTTAGCATAGCCTATATATAGGATATATATACAATATATACAAATACACAATATTGGACACAGACTATAAAAGGCACAAAGTTTCATTCACTAATGAAAGTCAAACACATGTTTGTTTCCACTGTTTTATTGTGTGCCTGTCGCGATAAGCAATGCATTGACGTATCGTACGATAAATAAAAATGAACTCGATAAATTGCCATTTACATGAGGATGTGACTAGCAGTTTGAAAGGATGTACTTGAATTATTATTATATATTATCGTTATGTCAGTGGTCTAAAATGGTCATACAACGGTGCCGACAATATTATCGTTTATCGCAATAATTTCCGGGAAAATGTATCCAACACAATTAATTATCGTGAGAGGCCTACACATGAAACACACACACAAACAAATCTACAGACTTACTCCAAACTGCCAAATATGTTAATTAACACACTCTCACTCTCATATACTCTTTGACTCTATTTTGGCCTAGTAGAACAATAAGCAGCAGACTTTAACATTTTTATAATTTCTACTGGTTCTTAGATCTGAGCATGCGCAATACGGGTCGGCAGTTGCGAGAGAGTATTTTTGTTGGGTAATCTATGGTAGGGCTAACCCATACAGTGGTGGGGCTCATGTCAGTATTTGCAATGTAATTACATACACGCTCCCCTTGACAGTGAAACGCCACGCGTGAGGTTTAGATTATTTCCCTGTCTCAATCCAAATTGAACTGTATGAAATAAAAAGGCACAGTTGTCTTGTAGTAAATAAAAAGGGCGACCTGGAGCCAATCCTGCAATCTCTCCACAGGTGAAAGAGTTGACATGCTGAAAACCCAACCCCTGCAGGGTGGTCTGGGGGGATTCTCCCCCAGGAGATTTTTTTTGTTTTAGTTTTGAAATAGGTTACTAACATAAAATACACATTCTGGTAGCCTACTCTCTTGAGAAGAAACATAAATAAATCTATTACTACACGACATATTTTAAAAAGTAATGCCATTTTAGTTTTGTGTTACTTTGTTCTGAAAGCTGAACCTGCTGCTCCTCACAGAGAGAAGAGGGAAGAGGCTGTGTGAATTACTTTACATTGTGGATAAGGGTGGATAGGCCCCATTGTTCTTTGTGTCAAAATGAAAGACAGCCCACACACCTATCCAGGGACGTGCACAGACATTTGGAGGGGCTATTGCTCTAAACTGGAAAAAGGGCCTCCCGTTCACTAAGCGGAAAAACATAAGACCTTTTTTTAATGTAAAATAAACCAAATGATTATTACATCAACTAAATTGAACAGTAATTCACATCTTATAACAAAATAAGCTAAGGCGACTACTTAATTTCAAAAATGAAAATCAGGGACATTTTTTGTTTTGCGGTCCATATCTCATTAAAATATCTAATGTTAGTAACTATTAAAGACAAAATGGGGACAATTCTGTTCTAATGTAGTTTGACTATTGTAACTGCTGTGCAGTCCAGACATACTGATAAAATAGGGCCTCTAACCAGGGGTTAAATTGGGCCGGGGCTGTCCAGGGCTGTCCGGGGCTCAGCCCCGGCACATAGGACGATGCTCTGACGTCATCGCCCTCGCTCATTTGTTTAAGCCATAATGTCAAAACATCTCTCGTTCTTAATATAGACTTTATTTAGGGTCGATATGTGTTGACTTTAAAATTTAAAATAGCAGATCTCTGTGACAGGATATCGTTTTTCCGCTTAGTGAACGTATGTCTCTGCTCCGATCAGGAGCTGCAGCACCGTGGCTCCTTCGTGCAGAGAGTCTGCAGCAGTGTGTGTGTGTGTGCAGAGAGTCTGCAGTGGTACCGCCAAACCCCCGACCCGTCTTGTAACACGGAGCCCGTTTCCTACACCATCAGGGCCGGTTCTAACCAATTTGTTGCCCTAGGCGAGATTTTAGCTGGCGCCCCCCCCCCTGCCAGAAAATCGTTCAGTAGAACAAATAAAAGTATCCAAGGAATACACAATAGAATATATAAAAAGTAAATGAAAAATCTCTACAAAAGACCAATGCACTACAAAAACAGAAATGTATTGACATAAGTCATATACATCAAAGGCTTCAAATGTATTCAGTATTATATGAACATGTTTTAATTGGGGTGAGGACATCACATCCTCTAGGCCGGGGGGTCCGGGGGTATGCCCCCCCGGGAAGAAATGTTTGAACATTTAAAGTAAAATTCTTCAATCTGGTGCACTTAGAGCACACATTACTAGAGACCTGATCTAGGGGGTACAACTCTAACGGCCCGTCCACACAGCGGCGTGCGTTGAAGCTTGCCGGCGGGCGTGTCTGAAACTCGACCAACAACCAATCACATGAATCTCCCGCCCCTGACATACAAGCAGCGGTTTGATTGGCTAGAGCTTGTACTGGCATATGATTCGATTGGCTGACGCTTCTGCCGTGGCTTCAAAACTTGAACATTGCTCAACTTTTGCAGCGAGCCACGCCAGCAAAGTGACGTCACCCCATTCAAAGTGAATGGTGAAGCTTTCAACGCACGCTGCTGTGTGGACGGGCCGTAAAACACCCATATGAAAAAGATTGGTTTACATTTTAATAATCAAATAAGTATGTGAACATAACCAATAGCAAATAAATGCAACTTATTTTATTTTTGTTGTTCATTCATATCTTATTTGACCTAGTTAACATTTATTTATGCATATTTTTGTATCTCTCAAGTTTTAAAACAATATTTTTGGTTTACTGTCCTATAGTATACATTGAAATGATTTCAAACCTGTTTACCCCAATAATTATAAAAGAGTGCCTTGGAAATATGTGTTTACATAAATTGCATTTATCTCACTCGCTCGATCCCACACCCACTTTGGCTGTGAGCTGCGGACGCCTGATAAGCCAACACCCCCCACTTTCATCAATTACAGCGCCCATCGTACAGGGCAAATGAAAAGTGTAACCCGGGGTGAAAAGGGTGTTACCTTGACTTAATTATGAATGCTGTTACATCAAGGCCGAAAATTAGGATGAGCGCAAACAGTCAAAATGTTTTTTTCCCTCCCAGAGCTGCCAGCGCAGCGCCCCCCCCCCCAGATCTGGCGCCCTAGGCGACCACCTATGTCGCCTATGCCAAAAACCGGCCCTGACTTAACCTAACAACTTATTTAATTTGTTTTCACAATTACTAATGTCATGTTTTTTTTTATTCTTGAAGAAAATGTCTTTTTTTCTGGCATTCTTCCAGGATTAACAAAAATAAGAATAACATTGCGAACTATCTTTGAAGTAAATGGCTGTTGTTAAACGCTTCCCACATTTACTTCAATCATACAATAGAAAAGCTAAAAGTACCCAAGGAATACACAATAGAATATATAAAGAATAAATGAAAAATCTCTACAAAAGACCAATATACTACAAAAACAGAAACGTATTGACATGTTGGTAATATACATCAAAAAGGCTTCAAATGTATTCGGTATTGTATGAACATGTTTGAATTGGGGTGTGGACGTCACATCCTCTAGGGGGGACCGGGGGTATGCCCCCCCAGGAAGAAATGTTTGAACATTTTAAGTAAAATGCTTCAATCGGGTGCACTTTGAGCACACATTACTAGAGACCTGACCTATGGGGTACAACTCTAAACACCCATATGAAAAAGATTGGTTTACATTTTAATAATCAAATAAGTATGTGAACATAACCAATAACCTACCATAGCCAATAGCAAATAAATGCAACTTATTTTATTGTTGTTGTTCATTCATATCTTATTTTACCTAGTTAACGTTTATTTATGCATATTTTTGTATCTCAAGTTTTAAACGATATGTTTGGTTTTCTGTCCTATAGTATACATTGAAATGATTTCAAACCTGTTTACCCCAATAATTATAAAAGAGTGCCTTGGAAATATTTGTTTACATAAATTGCATTTATCTCTCTCGCTCGATCCCACACCCACTTTGGCTGTGAGCTGCGGACGCCTGATAAGCCAACACCCCCCACTTTCATCACTTAAAGCGTCCATCGTACAGGGCAAATGAAAAGTGTAACCGGGGTGAAAAGGGTGTTACCTTGACTTAATTATGAATGTTGTTACATCAAGGCCGAAAATTAGGATGAGCGCAAACAGTAAAAATGTTTTTTTCCCTCCCAGAGCTGCCAGCGCAGCGCCCCCCCCCAGATCTGGCGCCCTAGGCGACCGCCTATGTCGCCTATGCCAAGAAGCGGCCCTGTACACCATGCTAAATATGTCTGCATAAAGCTGAGTTATGATCGGTCATAATAACACAGAATTTGGTGATGATTAAATAGTTTACAGTGAGATTTACTCCCATACTTTTGGCCATACTCATGCAGCCCTACAAATGAATTGAGATTTCCAGACAAATGTTCTTTAGCAAGTGTGCAGAGCAGTGTTGATTTAAAAAAGCAATTTGAAGGTTGGATATTTGTAAACCTTTTTTTTGTGTATATATATATATTCATAATTTAAGATGTAAATGAATTCCAGTTTATTTGTAGTAGGCCTACTTTCTATTTTTATTTTTGACATTTGGTGGCATCAATGTCTGCATTTGATACAGATAATGGAGCAGTTGCTTTAGGGCCACAGTGTAGGCCTATATCCCTTAAGGTCAAACAATGAGATCCTCGATCATGTTGATTCGGCCACAACAGAAAAAATAAAAATAAACTCTCGCTCTTTCCAGAGGGGCAGGTCAGCCAAAAAGGCCAAACGGGCCGTTGCCCTGGCAACATTAGCCCGTACCTGTGCACGTCCCTGCACCTATCAATCATCAAACCGTGGGGTCTTATTTCATTACGTGTTGATTTCTATCAACACGTAATGTTGTATCGATGTATATAGTCTATAGAGATGTACTACAGCAAAAGTATTCTCCGTCGGGACTTCCTGGAACAACACCACGCCGTTATCTTGATTCTGATTGGCCAGAAGACATTATCAAAGATGTTCTATTGAGAAGACGATCACTACCTGACAAAAGTTTTCAAAACCGTTTCTAGTCTTCGGAATTCTTGTTTTTGGCGTGAGAATAGTTTGGGCAGCGTGAGAGCGTGAGATTGAGAGTGAAAGCGTGTGTCACACGCCAGATGCGTGAGAGTTGGCAACCCTGACTTTAACCTTCATACTAACATTAGCATGCTAATTTGAGCATGCTAGAATAAGTATGCCATATGAGTACATATATGGTTCTTCTATAAGACAATGCTTCAAGATTAGATAGAAATGCAGTGCACAAAAAACACCTTCTTCAATTGTATGTAATGTTTGTGCTTTAGTGGTGCATATTACCAGATTAATCAAATGAACATGTGGCTCCTGAGCATCTTTGCACAGATGATAATCTAGCCTTGCATATGACACTGAAATGCTGAAGCTAAAGATAAAATACAGCTGAATGATTAAATGAATCATTCAGTGCTGAGCCTGACTCGGTATATCCAAAATGCCCACTGGCCCAAAGATCCTGTCCCATTCATTCTGCCTGAGAGCTGACTTGCACTCTGAGAAACATAGCTTTTTTGGCTCCACCTTTAAGGAGTAAACATTATGCCAACCTTCAGCGCAGCTCTTTCTGAGAAATGCCCGTGAATCAAATCCCAATTGGCCAAATAATTATATAAGCGCTTTAAGTGGAGCCTTGTTTCCTGCTGATTGACAGGTCACACTACCTGGGCCATGTCCAAGTACACCAGCACGTCTCCATCAATGTCAGCCCCAATCATCCCAGCCTCTGTCAAGACTGTAACTGTGTAGAGCTCTGAAAGAAACATAAAAGGCTGGTCACTGTATGCATTACCACAATGGCTTTGTGTAATACAACCCTGAGGGTAATAACTATATCAAATGTACTACCTGTAAGTGCAACCAGGTGGGGGAGGCAAAGACGATTGGCGAGAACAATGAGCTCCATTGCATCCAAGTCAGTCCGAGAACAAAACCGCCCCGTATAGAGATACTCCAGCACGGCCCTCATACAGCTGCGAGTTGTGTTTGGAAACAGCACCTTAGAAACAGGAACATGTGACCCATTCATGACCGAGCATTTCACTGTATTTTGCATTTAATAGGTAACAGAGAATAAATCTAGTTTACACTCTTATATTTATATAATGTAATAGTAATATATATAACAAAATATAGTTATTTACAAAATCTTGGTTCATTTTTTAATGCATGAGCAGTTAGAATAGCCACGAATAAAGAAAGAAAAACATATTGTGTTTACATACAGTATTGGTTGAAAATGAAAAAAAGGTTTTAGGAACCATATGATTTTTGATCATTTGAAATGAACGTGTCTTAACTATCTGCAAAAGTAAGTGTAATATTTTCGTAGTATTATTTTATGCTAGGTAGACAAACTGAGCGGACAGAACAACAACATGTTTGCTGACTTAATTGTATTACATCAGACTTGCAATCCTCTAATTGAATTACATTTTGTAAACAGACCAAATACATCACAGGTGCTCTTCATGGGTCAGTAATGATCGCTGCTGGACTGCTGCGTTTTGCCAATCAAGAAATAATTACATTTACATGCTTCAACTTTATAAATCGACTTGCAATAAGAATGCCATGGAAAATTACAAGAAACATGGACACATTTTCTATCCAGTACTCACTTTGGTCTGTACTCTAGTTCTGTTTGTCTTTTTTCACAGCTGAACAAAGTGATACATGTTGACTTACCTCTTTTGTGCAGCTCTCCACAAAAGGCCCACCAAACATAGCTGCCATCCAATCACAACTAGAGATGAGCAAAGGTTTGTGGGCCTTGATGGTCCCATCATCTAACTTGAATACTACATCTGTAATAAAGAGATGAGACAAAGATAACACCTGTGTTCTATTTTAGGCTAAACAAATAAGTGTTAAATATTTCCACTCACCAGAAAAGGTCCCTTTGGCCAAGCACTCTTTGACTCTGTTTGTGCGCCGTACATGGAAGGCTTTGGTGATTTCTTGGTTCATGAAGGCTTCATTGTTTAGTATGTTTGCCACCATCATCCGCAGGTCAAAGACCTCCAGCAGCTCAGCAATGTGTGCAATGTGCATTAGCTCCTTCTCATTCTCGTCCAGCTGACCTGTGTACAGGTAGCGAAGCACTGCTCGGAAAGGCCCGAGCTGCATGGACTGGTCCATGTGCACCACAGTTATGGGCCTGGGGCTGTATGAGACGGGGTCGTCTACCACCTCCTCCTGGATGCTGGCGAAGGCTCGGCTCCACGAAGAGAGGAGTCTGCCCCGTCGCCCTGCGTCGAAATCTTTTAACGTCCCATCACTAGTGCAGGCCCTCAGGTTGGCCCTGTCTCCATCGTCACTACTTTCGCAAACATCAAAGCTAGCAGCACGCATCAGCAGCTCTCTTCCGGAGAGAGGACCACGAGAGGGCCTTTCAGTCTCCTCGCTATGTGCGTCCATGATAAAGAGGTCATAGAACTTTGAAGACGATGTCGACAAGTATATCTTGTGTGCAAAGATTTTCTGTCGCTCCTGCAGGATCAGGATGACGTCAGCACAGTGTGGGTCCTCGAGGAGACCGACCGGATGCTCCTCTGTGGTTGTGGGAGGAGGAGGCACAGTGATTATAGGTGGGGGAGGTTTCGGTGGCAGGAAGGGTGCCTGAAGGAGAGGCCGCTGTACATTTCTCAGGTGGGATTTCCAAAACTGCAGGTGTCGGCGCGAGATGAGCGCAGCTCGGATAGCATTATCAAAGACGTCCTTGACTCCAAATTGAGCAACAACACTGGTTTCATAATATGGCACTCCCAGCTCTTTGGCCACCTCCCGGCCTCTCTCTGGAGCAAGAATCTCATTGGATTTAATGGGTCTGAAAACAAGAACATTTATCAAATACCATTCTGCCATTAAGAAGGGTAGACCTCAAACAATCTCTTGTTTAAAAATGAATCCCTCTACCTAGCTAAAGGCCTCCGTGCCCTGTTCACTGCGTCCAGGTCTGCATAGCGCAGGTCCAGCTGACAGCCCACCAAGATGACAGGAGCACGGGGGCAGAAGTGCTTGATCTCAGGGTACCACATGGTCTTCACGTGGTAAAGAGAGTTGGGGTTGGCAATTGAGAAGCACAATACCACCACATCAGACCTGAAGGAATGACACGGGACAAATTCACTAAACTCAGGAAGCACCAGAGCACTTAGTGGCAGATTAACATGGAATTTCACAATATCTCACCTGCCGTAAGCGAAACGCCGGTCCTTATGATGGTCTCCAAAAGTATCCCAGAGACGAAGGGACACGCTGACATCATCCACCACATCTCTGGAGCGCTCTAATACCTAATTAGAGATTACACATTCAAGGACTTTTAATCTCTGTAAATCACTGGTGTGAATGCTAACAGCTTAATGTGCAAATGAGGCGCCTTTAGTATTTTATTCCTTTATAGATTTAGTTTAGTTGAGCAATCAGAGATTTGAATCCTGAAAAAGCACATCCATGCAATCTTATGAGTAATTACTTTGCATACTTACCTCCTGGCATACTCTGTACTGGTCGATGGCCCATACTGTGGGCACATGTGTAGCGAGTAACTGGTACTGAGTCAGCGTAGCATTGCAGGCCCGGGCGCAGATGAGGCGGGTCTTTCCGACTGCATTGTCTCCCACCACAACACACTTGATAGTCTCAACGTTTGGCCTCTCATAGTCCATATCAGAATCTTTCAGCTGGGACCTGTCCAAACACAAAGGAGGCCAGAAAGCCGCATCAGCACCTAAAATCCTAAACTATTGTCCTGAACAGTACAGGAACATAGATCAATAAGGATAATAGACACTGTGTCTACTCCTTATGTGCTCCGCTCCTTCTGCCTGCAGAGCTATCAATGGACGGTCCCGTGACTTCCCAGAGCCCATTCACAAGTTCCCTGTCCTGGCTGCTGATATAGAGAAAATTTAAAGGGACAAGCTAAAAAAAAAAAGGCACATTTTTGATCCATAATGGTTGCAACACGCCCCATAGTGTAAAAATAATATGCCATTTTTCCTAATCTTAGTTGAAATATAAAAGAAACGATGTTCAGTTTTAAAACAACAAACCAATTCAAATAAATAAACTGTTTGGTTTGTCCACTGAGGGTTAATAAAGGCTGATGTAATCCCATCAACCATCTGCAAGCCTAAAATACCTTCCCCTGTGTATGGTTCTTACGCAAGAATCCAAACAACCTTACCTTCACCCATCATTCATAACCCCTAAGTTAAATAAATATGACATTCATAAACTCACTTTCATTTAATGAAATGGAGGAAATAGGTAAACATACTCATTTTTGTTGCTGATGATTTAGCTGAACGACTGGTTTCCAAGGGAACTGTAGCCTGTGTCTCTGTGTGTCACGGTTTATATCAAACTCCATCACACTGATCATGACGTTTTTCTCAAAAAAGCTCAAACATGACAGTTACTGTAAAACTGTTTCATAGGCTAGTGTCATGCTAGTGCTGTTGCTTTATTTTAGATCCAACATGAGTCACCACAACACACATAACATCAAATTATGTTCACTGTCATGTCATATCATTGACCAGATCTCTACTCTACACATGCATGCTCAACTGTCAGACCACCATCTATGTTTTGTCCCAGCATCTTTCCCTTTGAAAGTCTCCCTCCACTGGGAATAACAGGCTTGCTTCAATAGAGGCATTCATATTTAGACTATCAGTTAATGTTACCTTGTTGTGAATGAGGTCAGATGCTTCCTGTGCCTGCCTCCACCCCAAAGGACCTGCTGTAAAGAAATAACTGGCCCACTCCCTGAAGCATCACTTTTGGTCACCTGCACACTACAGATTCCTCTCTAGGATGAAAATCAGGATATCATATGTCTTCTTTCTTGCAGTATTTAGACTATTTTAATGTAGCCTTTCCTTGTATACAACGCCCTGTAGATTACTACGGTTTACTAGGATTTCAGCCTGACGGTCATTATGCAGCCATTCATAAAATCAGCCATTCATTGACTGCATAATCTGCAGGCGAGCAGTCATCTGCATTTATTTACAAAACATCTGACCTTAGGCTGGGCGTGCATGACATTATAGAGATACACCGCCTCTAATGTTGCTCATTCATATGCCCTTTACGGTTCGTCTACACTGCGCAACTCCCGAATTAATTCAACATTTTGTATACGGTCAGACACTGAAAATAACCCATCGCCTTAGCACTATCCTCCAGAGTAAAATATCATTAAATAATATTGCAGCCTCAGTTATCATCCACAGCAAAGATGATAAAAGAATGCATATCCTACCAGAAGGACCGAGCAGTCCCACCACCACCGAGACACTAGTCATGAGGCTGTGCTGCATTACACCTTATGTAATACCCCGTCACTGACTCTTGAGTCTGTTTATCTGGCTCTGCGTTCATTGCATGCAGAAAACCCCACAGAGATACCAAATAAACCCAGTTTTCCTTTAGCAGGGAATGTGAAGCGTCCCTCTTACCGCAACATAAGGAAGTGAGGCATCGGGTTGGCCGATGAACGAGATGAAAAGGAGGGCTCCATCGGATGCGGCTTGCACCTGTCTGCAGCTCGTATTTAACTTCATCTTAAAGACAAGGTAAACCAGGCTTGAAAAAGAGGCGGTGGGACCAGCAAACTTCCCCCTGGATCAGCGCGATAAGTCCGATTGCATTCCTAAAAATACAACGCTGATCTGAAGCCTGTCGGTGCCAAGCAGAGCTGCAGCCCTGCCGTCCTGGATCCACCTCCACTTACTGTAGGCCTCCACAGCTAATAATAGACAGGCACCGGCTGGGAAAAAACATTCATTACAAAACACTGATCCACTTTAAAGTCACACAAATCTCGCTCCACTGACCCTCAGTAGCCTGGGTTGACTTGTTTTCCCTCCACCACGTGTTGTTTTGTTTGTTTACCTCTTAAAACTAATATAGGCTACAATCATTTGCATTTTTTGTAATGTTTTGAGTGTGATCAAATATACATTATTCACCCCTCATGGATTCATACTGGGTTGAAAAACACAGTACTGCACTATACAGACTTATCAATATGTGAAAAGTAGGAGGGCAAGATGAAATAAATCACTCAGGTGTGTGTGTGTGTGTGTGTGTGTGTGTGTGTGTGTGTGTGTGTGTGTGTGTGTGTGTGTGTGTGTGTGTGTGTGTGTGTGTGTGTGTGTGTGTGTGTGTGTGTGTGTGTGTGTGTGTGTGTGTGTGTGGTGTTGTGTGTGTGTGTGTGTGTGTGTGTGTGGTGTGCGCGTGTTGCAAGTACAGTATGGCTGCATGTGTGGCATGGGGAGGCTGCATGACACAAATTCTTAAAAACATAAATAAAACAATAACAGGAATCCGATGTCTGACACATAGCTATTTAAATGGATCCAGTGCTGCACAAATAAAGATGCATGAGTCATCATAGCCGTTGAGTTTTTTATAAATGATGAGCTGTTGCTTGGTACTAATTTTACTCCTTTGGCTGTATACCAATCAGTCCCTCTGATGTGTATTAAGTCATTAATACATTTAAAACTAAACCTTATTCACAATCATACATTTAGATAATAAACAAGTCTAAAACGTATAAGTGCCATTTTGGATTTGCTTTTATTAAGTTCATTTGCTCAATTGAGTGCTGCACTCTAGTGGAAAATATAACAAACTACTTGTTTAAATGCATAGTAATAATTCAAGTAGAGGCAGAGATTATGACTTCTAATTCCTGTAGATCCAGCTCCAGAAACAATTCATCCTATACTTCCCATGATGCAACAGTTGCATAGTATCTTTGTCAGACAAGACATGAGAGATAAGACATCATCATCCCTGTAATGCAGCATTTGTTCTACTGCAGATGTATTATAGTCTGATTAAATTACATTGAATTCCTGTTTTGGTAATAAACTTGTTCTCAATACTGAAAAGGTGTGTTTGAAAATAACTCAATGTCATTTTCCAATTATTGAACTGGTACCTGAGTTGAATCTACTTAGTGTGCATTAGATTCAAATGTGTCATGGTTATCACACTTAAGCTATAAGGCGATTATTTGCAGTGTTCATGATAGAATAGCTGATAACAGCGTTGACACACGCAGCAATTGCTCTTGTTGGCAGTCAGTTTAGTCGTTTAGCACTTTGCAGAAAGCTATTACTGCTGTGATAACTTAACATCAGGATGCACAGCAAATAAAGGACCTGCCATGGTTTGGTTTGTGATAAATGAAAGGCAACTCACAGGTACTGATGTGTTCAGAGCCTCAGATCATGTGTTTTATGAAGGATTTAAATATACAGTAAACTGAATTTCCGTTGAGTTGGTTTACAAAAATACATACATCTTTACTCTGTTACTTTGTGTTTCTCTGAACTGTGCCATTCCCATTAAATATGAACAATGCAATCCAGTGTTTGCACCTTCTGTCTTTGTCCCAGGACCAAGTGGGTCACATTACATTTGACCTTTATTCTTGCCAATTGTAGAGCACATGTATGTCAAAGTTGTACTGCTTTTATTGTGGGAGAAATAACTTAAAACAACACAAACATCATTCTAAAAAAATGCATCTACAGATAACTATTTTGTTACATTTCTATGTCATGGTTGTCTCAGACATAGTCTTACCATATCTGAATTACTGTGCTGAAATCTGGGGCAATAACTACAAAAGTTCTATACATGCAGTATCTATTCTACAAAAAAAGCCATACACAAATACCTTGATCACACTAACAAATTGTTCCTGCAGTCAAAATTGTTAAAATGTACAGACCTGGTAGAATTCCAAACGGCACAAATCATGTTTGAAGCAAATAATAACGTTTTACCAGGAAACATCCAAAAAGTATTCACTCAACGAGTGGGGGGATATAGTTCAAGGAGACAATTTCAATTCGAAATTCATAGGGTCCGTACAACCAGAAGAACTTTGTGTATCTCAGCCTGTGGAGTGAGACTATGGAACAGTGTGAACGTGGAGTGAGACTATGGAACAGTGTGAACGTGGAGTGAGACTATGGAACAGTGTGAACGTGGAGTGAGACTATGGAACAGTGTGAACGTGGAGTGAGACTATGGAACAGTGTGAACGTGGAGTGAGACTATGGAACAGTGTGAACGTGGAGTGAGACTATGGAACAGTGTGAAACGTGGAGTGAGACTATGGAACAGTGTGAACGTGGAGTGAGACTATGGAACAGTGTGAACGTGGAGTGAGACTATGGAACAGTGTGAACGTGGAGTGAGACTATGGAACAGTGTGAGCGTGGAGTGAGACTATGGAACAGTGTGAATGTGGAGTGAGACTATGGAACAGTGTGAGCGTGGAGTGAGACTATGGAACAGTGTGAATGTGGAGTGAGACTATGGAACAGTGTGAACGTGGAGTGAGACTATGGAACAGTGTGAATGTGGAGTGAGACTATGGAACAGTGTGAATGTGAAGTGAGACTATGGAACAGTGTGAACGTAGAGTGAGACTATGGAACAGTGTGAATGTGGAGTGAGACTATGGAACAGTGTGAACGTGGAGTGAGACTATGGAACAGTGTGAACGTGGAGTGAGACTATGGAACAGTGTGAATGTGGAGTGAGACTATGGAACAGTGTGAATGTGGAGTGAGACTATGGAACAGTGTGAATGTGGAGTGAGACTATGGAACAGTGTGAACGTGGAGTGAGACTATGGAACAGTGTGAACGTGGAGTGAGACTATGGAACAGTGTGAACGTGGAGTGAGACTATGGAACAGTGTGAACGTGGAGTGAGACTATGGAACAGTGTGAACGTGGAGTGAGACTATGGAACAGTGTGAACGTGGAGTGAGACTATGGGAACAGTGTGAACGTGGAGTGAGACTATGGAACAGTGTGAATGTGGAGTGAGACTATGGAACAGTGTGAACGTGGAGTGAGACTATGGAACAGTGTGAAGGTGGAGTGAGACTATGGAACAGTGTGAACGTGGAGTGAGACTATGGAACAGTGTGAACGGTGGAGTGGAGACTATGGAACAGTGTGAATGTGAGGAGACTATGGAAACAGTGTGAATGTGAGAGTGAGACTATGGAACAGTGTGAACGTGGAGTGAGACTATGGAACAGTGTGAACGTGGAGTGAGACTATGGAACAGTGTGAACGTGGAGTGAGACTATGGAACAGTGTGAACGTGGAGTGAGACTATGGAGGACAGTGTGAATGTGGAGGGAGACTATGGAACAGTGTGATGTGGAGTGAGACTATGGAACAGTGGAACGTTGGATGAGACTATGTGAACATGTGAACGTGGAGGGAGACTAGGGACAGTGTGAACGTGGAGTGAGACTATGGAACAGTGTGAACGTGGAGTGAGACTATGGAGTGAGACTATGGAACAGTGTGAACGTGGAGTGAGACTATGGAACAGTGTGAACGTGGAGTGAGACTATGGAACAGTGTGAACGTGGAGTGAGACTATGGAACAGTGTGAACGTGGAGTGAGACTATGGAACAGTGTGAATGTGGAGCTAAAGCGATGTCCAGACATTAACCAGTTCAAGAGGAAATACAGAGAAATTATTTTCTCGAGGTACAGGGATGGGGAAGGTGTTTGTGTATATGTGTGAGTATGTAGGTGTGTATATGTGCATATATGTATATATGTGTATGTATAGATGTGTATATGTCAAACAGGTAAAGCAGATTAATAATAATAATAAAAACAATAATTAATAATAATGATAATTATTGCAGATTATAGATTATAAATAAATCATTTAGGGACAAGGGGGTGAGATTAAATACATTATACTTCTTCTCACTCCTTTTCGAACACTAGATGTGGCACTGTTTATGTTGCTAATGCTGTTGTTGTTGTAAATGTCATTTTTTGTTTTGATTTCTCTTACATGACTATGCACTGCAACATTTGTTTTGTTTTGTAATTATTTATTTTACTGGTTCGAAATAAAATGTATCAATCAATCAATCAATCAATCAATGAATCCTCAGACAGTAGACACAGCATGTTACCTTGCTAAATTGATATCAACCGGTTCAGTTATCGTTAAATGCTCTGTGGTTCTAACTGGTTCTTTTTATGCTAAATGTGCTTTACTGTAACTCCTGTAATGTGCAGTCTGATCCACCAGGTGAGGCTGGCAGTCTAAACATCCTTCAGTCCTCTCTTTAATCTTGAGCCACAACATATAAAACATGGCAAAGGGTGGAACAAGTTCCCTTCAAAATAGGAAGAGATGTAAACTGAAATTATGCATTGGACTAAAGCACATAAAATGAATGATAAAAGGACATGAAGTATATTTGTTTTTCTAAGTGAGGGTCTACTAAGTTTAAAGGAGTCAATGGATATTAAAAAAGAAAAAGCTTTGATATGTTTAAGCTATGTAGATATCAGATATTTGAATGAGAGAAATCGAAATAAAAATGTAAGAATTTTGGTATTTAGCCTCTTTTCAGTTAACTATGTTGTTTGCACGTTTGTACTGTTATACAAAGCAAAGGTCATACTGCAAAATCAATTTAGAATTGATTCATTGATCTAAACCAGACATTTTCAAAGGTTGTGGTATGTAGGTGAGGGAAGTGAAAAAGATCACCTTAGTCATGAACCTAAATGTGCATGATTAGGGTAGGTAAGAATGGAGAAACCAGCTTGAGTAAGCTAGAATTTGAAAGTACACAACCTTCCTTCAGTCTTCCTTACAGAGCCCCTCCTCCAACACACACAAATGCGCATGACCAGGGCACAAGATAAGTTTGTGCACGAGATGGAAGGCTGACAGGCAGGTAGCCATCCAGTTATCTGCTGCGGGCCGGGGAAGATACTTGCTTTTTACAGCGCCACGGCTTCCACAGATAAAATATTTGTATGTATTTATTGTCAAAGCATTTAATGTATTCATTGCTATCGGGATGTTAAGAGCATTCCATGGAATATAACAAAAAGTGTTTCTGAAGTGAATTACCTACCCTACCTTTAAAGAGATAGTACAAAGATACAATTTGTGGGAATTTCTTTGCCAACTTTCCCAGAGTCAGTAAATAAAAAATGCCTTGTGCCATACCTTTTTAAAAAAAAATGTATTTGGTGTAATAACATTATGTCAAATAGCAATGTCATGATACCATAGTATCAAAGGATTGCAAGCTAACTACCTGGGAGTGAGAGGGCAAAGGCTTTTCCTACGAAGAGGCCAGCAGAACACAACGTTAAAAGACCCTGTCCTAACCTAGTGCCACACTGTCACACATTCACACCTGCCTGATAAATTGTAAAAGGTCTTTTTTCTACCACCACAAATTCAGATGTATACAAATGTTTTTGGAATGAGCAAGTTAAATAAAATAAAAAGAAAGTAAAAGTCAGTCCAGCAGTTTATTTCAAATTGGCTGGTCAAATGCAGCCTCAATGTGGAGCAAACCCTTTCTTTTTATAAATACTTGTGGAAGTTGAGTAACGATAAGAGTTATTTGCCACTCTAAGCTTGCGCAATAGCAGAAGTGAGGAGTAAATGTTTTGTAACCAATAAACATTATTGATAGCAGCTTCACAGTGAACTCTGGGCCAGAGTCCAGGCAGGTTAGGGTCTCTAGAAACATTCAGAGAGTCAGAGGATTGCTGCTGTCAGTCGGTTTATTTTTATTTCTCCATGGCGGCTCCTGAATCCGAATGTCTTTTCTCTCTGGACCCCTACCATGTCTCTGAGGAACTTGGCTTCATCCTCCCTGACCCTCTGGTAAGTGATACAGCCCAATAAATGTAACTTTCTTGGCAGTAAGTACGTTTTACCTTATACACAATCAGTCAAGCTGCATGAAGTAGCTCAATGTCAGGGCAACTTTAATTCAACTTTAAATGCAATTCACATTAAATGAAAATTGTTCCCACTGTTATAAAGCTGGTGGTATTGATTGAGACCATTTATCTCAGGGAAGTTGGCATGGTTCCTGTTTGCTTTGTGTGATGAACTTTATTCCTACAGCAACAAAATCACACTGTGTCCGAGGCCACTTTGCATGTAGCAATATAAAGCAATGAAATGCAAATAGGAATAAAAACAAAACATATTCAAATGTCATTGCAACATTGTACCTCCACATCTGTGCTCCACCGATCCTCCTGTCATTTTTCATTACAAGCGTCATTTTCTTATGATACTTTAACTTTCAAAGGAAGAGCTTCCACCGTACTACCAGCCATGGATGGATATTGCCCTGCACGTCCCGGAGCTGGTGCACTCTCACAAGTTGCGGCTGCATATAAACGAAGTAAGTGGGGACAATAAACCGACAAGGACATTTCACTTTATAGAGGCATGCTTCATTGTTGCTCCTCTGCTGTCCAGATGCCGCTGCTGAGCATCCAGTTTCTGCAGAAACACTCAGAGTTACGTCTGGCACACCTGGCCCTCAGCGCGATGACCATGGGCTACGTCTGGCAGGAGGGGGAGAACGACACAGTGGAGGTATCTCTGGGTCTATAGACCACCTGTGCATTACATTAACACACATCTTGTACTCCTTATTGGGACATTTTGCACATAACTAATGTTGCACAATTCTGCACAATAAAACCACTGTTAAAACTGCACAGGATTTTTCTGTATTTTTCCAGTTCTTTTTTCTGATCATAGTTGTTACAATAGTTATTGTAACATGTATATATTTGCTCTTATTTTATAATTTCTGATACTGTGTATGAATTCACCACACCAGAGCAAATTCCTTGTATTTTAAAACCTATTCGGCAATAAACCTGATACTGTTTCTATTCCATCTTTTTGTCATACTGACCATTCCCAGTTGCTTAGTTACTCTACAGTTTACAATTTACAATTTATGTATAATTATTTTCATTTTCAACAATTTTCCTCTAAGAAGCTGCCACATAACCTAGCGGTCCCATACTGGGAGGTGTCACAGCGTTTAGGACTCCCCCCAATTCTCACCCATGCAGATGCAGTCCTGGCTAACTGGAAGAAGAAGGATCCAGACGGGTAACACCATTATCTTCTGCATGTGGTTTGGTTTCCTCCCGAACAAGTCTAAGCTCTCTGTTTTCTCTCTTTCTTATGTTCACCTTCACTGCTCTTGTACCAGGCCCTTTGACATGGAGTAAGTACAATACAACTCAAATGCTGGTTCCATTACATACCTGATGTGTGAAAAGCTGATTGGTAAACGTCTGCATGCAGGAACCTGGAGCTGCTGGTCAGCCTCCCGGGTGGAGACAGTGTGAGAGGTTTCTTCATGGTCACTCTGCTGGTGGAGCTGGCTGCAGTTCCTGCACTGAGGGTGAATCTAAAATCCCAAATACATTATGTAGAAAAGAAAAAACAAAATTATGATAAACTGTAAATTAGAAATGCCACCAAAAAACTGCAATTATATCAAGGACATTGTCTTTGTTTCTGGACCTGTGTTGCAGAACATTCCCACTGTGATCAACGGTGTCAGGTGTGGAGACACAGAGGCTGTGGCCACAGCTCTGGAGGAGATCAGCCAGTCCATGCAGGACATGACAGACGCACTCAAACTGATGCACGGTAATCACTCGAACATAATTTATAAGTTAGACTATTTCCCTATCGCCAAGTATTTTGATCACTGTGTTTTTTCTTAAGACTACGTGGATCCATCCGTCTTCTATGGAATTATGAGGATCTACCTGTCTGGGTAAGAAATATCTCTTTGTTTTCATAAGACCTATTAGACATTTATTTGTAAAGTAGAACTTGATTTTTAAATGTTGGTTTGTGGATTTGTTTGTATAGGTGGAAAGACAACACCTCTATGCCAAAGGGGCTTGTTTATGAAGGGGTGCAGGAGGAGCCGATGGAGTATTCAGGAGGGAGCGCTGCACAGAGCAGTCTGCTGCACTGCTTTGATGAACTTCTGGGAATCAAACATGAAGAAACAAGTGGTATGTGTTTCCTTGACTACAACACTGTCAGAAAGGTTTGCAAAGGATTTATTGTTATGATACTTCCCCTAACTTTATACAGGAGAGTTTCTAACCCGCATGAGGAACTACATGCCACCTGCCCACAAGCAGCTGATCCAGGACATCTCACTGCAACCCTCCCTTAAGGGTTTCATCCAGCAGCAAGCCAGCGAGAGGCTAAACCAGGCCTTTCAGCGCTGTGTCAAAAAACTCGTGGTTTTGCGCAGCTATCACATCAAAGTCGTCAGCCGCTACATCACTGTACCTGCTGCACGTGCCCGACAACTGAGAAAGCAGTACCGGGAGTCAGAGCAGGAGATGATCAGCAGAGCACCCACAGCGTTAGAGGAGAGAGGCACCGGGGGCTCTGGCATCATGTCCTTCCTTAAGACTGTGAGGAACCAAACAAAAGACACTTTGCTTCCTGAGACAGGCAAAACAAAATTGCACCATAGCTAATGTGCTGTCAATACTTATTAGCAGCAGTGTCAACTACATGGTATATAACAATGGCTGCAACGGATATTTCACACAACATTGAAATATAGAGGATGAGTTGTGACAGAATGAGCGTGAGAGACCTTCATCGCATATCTTATATGTATCTGTGTTGTGTCTGTACATAAAACTCAGCTTATCATAATGAAACCCATTGATGTTGCTTTCAACTACATTCAACCAATAATTCCGTCTTTAATCTGAACTGGAATGCAACAATTTCATCAGACATCTGCTCCAGACCCACATATCTAGAGGACATTAGGACATTAGGCAACTGAAGTCATTGCTTAACCCCCTCTTACTTATTCTGTTTAAACGCAGTAAAGAAATAACAAAGTTTGTCTTCTATAGCTTTAAAATGTAGCAGCATTGTTTTTTCTGTTAATAAAATGTTGAAGGTTACCCGTACTGGTTTAAAAGTAAGAATGATCATTGAAAAAGCTCACAATAATTGATTATGTGAAAACATTTACACTGCAATACCCTGGGAAACCATGGCAAGGCGCTAAAGGGAAGCATTATAATTCCCACCAAAAGCAGCTTTTACAAGGTGTGTCTTTAAGAAGCTGAAACTGTGAGAAATTAATGCACCATATACATCCAAGCCTTTGATTTGTGACAAATAAAATCTGATGAAATTAGGTATTTTTCATTAATAAAAGTCATTTAAAGTAGTAGTAGTAGTAGAACCTTTATTTATCCAGGAAAATCAATTAAGAACAAATTCTTATTTACAATGATGAATTCTTATTTACAATGATGAGAGATGAAAAGAGGTGTGACATCCACACCAGCCTCTAAAGTAAGAACCTGACCTTTACCTCTCAGAACATAATCAGTTGATCTCTCCTGACAATGGGGTTGTCATGTGAAAGTACAATGCACAATGCAGAGCAGAGATGCATCACTTATCAGAGTGGTTACCTCAGCAGTCCTCCAGCCCACATCTAGCCCTCACATGCCCCGCTATACTTCCTGGACAAAGTGTGGAAATCCCAGAGCAATGAAGGGATGGATTGTGCGTTGAATGGCTCACGCTGTGTAATCTTCACCTTTCCCTGGCTCATCTCCGCCGGTGTTTCATTACAAAAACAGCCTTGCAAGATCAGATAAGACAAAAGATGTGACAATTAGACATGACAATTCCCCCCCCCCCCCCCCACACACACACACACATACACACACACACACACACACACACACACACACACACGCACACACACACACACACACACACACACACACACACACACACACTGTGCTGAGTGATTTTCTTCCTCTTGCCCTCCTACTTTTCACATACTGGGTAGCAAGGAAGACAATGGAAGAGCAAATAAGAGTAAACGGTTAACAATTAAACCGTTTTAAGAAAAATGTTTGGAGCCATTTTATCCTGATTAATTGTACAGAAAATACATTAAGAGGTTTTCTTTTTACTATAGTGTGTTATATCGTTTTGTTGTGCATGTAAATGGTTTGCAAAGGCTAAAATGCCTGTATTCCATCCAGAGAGAGTCTCTCTCCTCCTGCCTGTAACACCTCGATTGGACTCCTTTGTTTACTTCCTTAACTTAAGGACATCACTATGTAACACGTGCTTCCATTGGCTTGCGCTCAAACACGTCTCTAAGCGGTTGACCAATTATAACAGAGCCAGACGGCTAACCATTCAGAGCAGACTGGGCTCTGGTTTCAGACAGAGGGTGAAAAGAGGAGCTGCAGCACAGGCAATATGAGACAAATAAAGAGCTTTTTGAACATTAAAGCATGGAGACATGTCACAGTGGAGACACACAATACAAATATGAACCTGAACAAAATAGCGTTATACGGCCCCTTTAAAAGTGGAGTCACTGTGTTCACATGTTGAAAGTCATTCATGGTTTCATTCCACACACACAGAGCCTTTTTCCACAGCAAAAGAAAATAATCCCCTTCCTTATTGCCTGAATGTGTTTACTGCCTGACAACCCGGCAGTAAACACATGCCGTCTCTAAGGATGTCTTCATTGTGTAGTCGGGGCTGGGCCTGCACCGCGGCTGAAGTTTCACCTCGGATCACAACAGTGGCTGGTTTCAGTGTAGGATATGACACACGTATGCATGCACAAACTCGCTTGTTTTGTACCGACAATGCTGTGAGATGGTTTACAAAATAAAGCTGTAAAAGGCGTCACCTTTTATTGTTATCTATCTTTGTGATATTATGTCTTACATTTTCCAAATGATATTCTATGAAGGATCACCTGAGCTAAATATAGATTCATCCTGAAGGCAAAGGGCGTCAGGATTCACTCTTGTTTTCATGAAACCTCCTAAAACATTCATGTTTCATCCGTCAGAGCAGAAAGGATTACAGGTGTGGGTTCTCCTTTCGGTTAGACAATCTGTGCCTTTGTGGTTGGCCACAGGATATCCTGGATTATGTTGTTTTGAAATCAAATGTATGATGCTGCTCATCTCAAGCCAAGACCTTTTTCTCACCCTGAGAGCGAGCCACCATGGAAGAAGCTATGTTGATTGTCTTTGGCTTGCACATGATGGGTGTAGCAGGTCATTATGTGCTGTGTGTGAAGTACAGCAGGTGACTCTGGGCGTTTCACCACTTTCTTCTCATCGGGACATCACTATCCAACATCCATGAACACACACCCACCGGTCGAATTCGTCTACATCATTCACTTTTAACCCAGTGCCCAGTTTGGGCACACCCTCAGTTAAATTTGAGCACTATATATAACAAATAATCTGCTCTCATCCCTATTCCTTTTCAATCAATGTTACAAATGTTCAGTACATATGACAAACTGCTTTAAAGGGGCCCTATCATATTCATTTTCAGGTTTCATATTTGTAATGTGTTCCTCTACTGTGACATGTCTCCATCCTTTAATGTTCAAAAAGCTCTTTATTTTTCTGATACTGCCTGTGCTGCAGCACCTCTTTTCACCCTCTGTCTGAAACCAGAGCCCAGTCTGCTCTGATTGGTTAGCTGGTCGGCTCTGTTGTGATAGGTAAATCGCCTAGACATGTCCTTTAGCCTATCACGCTCAATGTGTTGGAGCGCTAGCCAATAGAAGTGGGAATGTTACATCGTGATGTCATTATGTTACGAAAGTAAACAAAGGACTTCAATGGAGGCGGACAGGGGGTGAGTGTGTGGGAGAGAAACTTTGCAGACCATTTACATGCACAAAAACCTATACAACACGCTAAAGGAAAGGGAAAACTCTAGAAGGGCCCTTTCATTTTGGGATCTAAATTGCATCACCCTGACTCCCTCTCCCACAGAGCATCCATTTAGTGGTATAAAAGAATTTAAAGAAGTATGTGACAATTAACCCCATGGGCAAAGTTGTCTTTTAGTGTTCTTAGTACTTACTAACGGCATGATCATCTCCAGACTGGTGAATCATCCTTTCTAAAGTACCCCCATTTGGATGGTTTCCATAGAAGCATTTCTAAACACAAGCAAACGTATCCGACTTTCACTGTGTTGCGGGTTCTCAGTCTTTGCTTTTCTGCCTACTTGTCACCGGTAAACAAGAAGCTCATCTTTCATCATCTCCATTTTTCAAGTCCTTTTTTTTTTTTAAACCCCTTGTTCCCCTTTGTTCATCACTTGTGCGGTCTGCTTGGGCAGGTTACAGGCTTTTGATGTAGTCATCTTACAGCAAGTTTATCCCTTCCTTACCACTGACTCAACTGAAACGGCATGCCCACATGAAAAACGGGAAAAAAAGAAGCTGTCTTGTTCACAGCCAGTTTGAAAGTCTGCTTTTTCAGGTGTAGGATTACTGCTGCTGACGTCACATTGCAGGCTTTATTATTCCAGGGGAAAACTTGGCCCCTGTTATCAAGACATCATCGTGCTGCTTTGTGCGGTGAAGGTATCCTTTCGACTTTGCATCTGATGGAGTCTTACATTCCACCCTTCCTTAGCTGGATGAACATTGCTGTTGTCAGTGTTCAGATGTATTTGTGCCAGTTTTGTTGAGGTACCTTGTGAAGCTTTCTCAGCCTGCCATTGCTTTTTACCTATAGGTCTATAGCTAAATGTTAACAGTAGCGTGCCAGCACTCTAACAATGACAATATAAACTATAGCAGGTATATTGTTAACCATAACAGGTTTGAGCTGGTTTATTGTTAACCGTGTTCAACATCGTAGTGTGGTATTAATCACACAGTACAAAACTGAGTGTATTGTAAGAATATCAAACTGAACAAGATGATGTTATATGCAGTGGCGGTTCTAGACCAATTTGACTGGGGGGGCCACTGGGGGGCCAGTTATTTTCTGAGGGGGGCACAATAAATGCAGGACGAAAAAGAGAACTAGACAGTATGAAGTAATTGCGCATAAGAAAACAATGCAATACAGTTATTGGTATTTGTTTCAGTACACTTATTTATTTCAGATAGATCTTATAGTTATTACTGTTAGCTTCAGCTTAAGTTATAGTGCAATGTTTGCACTAACACCATATTTATATAAAAATAAAGGCAATGAACAGTTACATCTCTACTTTACATAAGGGTGTCTGCACAATCTCACATTACAGCAACAAAATCCTGCAGTTTTTGGCAAACCGAGTACCAGAAAATATACATTTAAAAAAATAAATAATTTTTTTGTCATTGTTAGGGGGGCCACAGGGGGGTCAGAGGTCAGTGTTAGGGGGGCACTGGCCCCCTGGTCCCCCCTAGAACCGCCCCTGGTATATGCTATGCTATATTACATTTGAATAACTGTTTGTTCATATCTGAACAAAAAAGATATCAACAGTGTTCACAAATGTTTGTCTGTGGCACTAGAGCAAAAGTGAGAGGTCATACGGTACATTAAGAGGGATCTAATGTTTATGTACATAATGTTGTAGATGTTGCTTATGTTGTCTATCAGCAAACGAATGATCAGCATTGCCATTCGTGGAGCCATTCCACTAGCTTGGCAATAAAAGGTCAAATTAAGTGATGAACAAAAGTTTCCTTCCCTCTTAGAACATCATACTTTTGTGTTTTTTGTCTCGCTTGATTCTGAACTCTTTTGATGGCCATCTAAAATCTTTTTCTATGCAAAAACTTTGCAGGGTTGAGATAATGTCCTAGAAAACACTTTCACGAGCTGTCCCTGTTCCACTCGTGTTTCAGCGAAAGATTTAGCCTCTTTCAAAGAAATGTAATTATGCAGTAGGAAAAAAACTCTTGTGTTTTCCTTTTTCATTTATTCTGTGAAATCTGCTTTGACAAGGTTAATGAAACAAAGAAATGCGGCCACTTTGCAATGTAACTCATGTGATCTGCATCATGCTCTCATTGTCTTCTTGCTTTGTAGTGGAAGCTGGCCTGACAGTGAATTCAAGGTCAATATATTTTAACTTATTATCAAAATCTGTTAAGAACT